CAACAAGAATGATTAAAGGTTTAGAGAACATGTCCTATGATGGAAGACTGAAAGAATTGGCTTCTTAATTTGGAAAAGAGAAGATTGAGAGAGTACATGATAATGGTTTTCAGGTATCTAAAAGGATGTCATGAGGAGGGAGAAAACTTGTTCTTCCTGGCCTTTGAGGCTAGGACAAGAAGCTGTGGGCTGAAACTGCAGCAAGGGAGGTTTAGGTTGGACATTAGGAAAAAGTTCCTAACTGTCAGAGTGGTTAAACACTGGAATAAATTGCCCAGGGAGGTTGTGGAATCCCCATCTGTGGAGATATTTAAGAGTAGGTTAGATAAATGTCTATCAGGGATGGTCTAGACAGTACTGGGTCCTGCTGTGAGGGCAGAGGACTGTACTCAATGACCTCTTGAGGTCCCTTCCAGTCCTAGTATTCTATGATTATATGATTCTTTCCTGTACTTGTCCCGCCTACTTGATGAATCGCTAGGCTTTCTTAAGTAAACATTTCCTTGTTTTCACTATAAACATATCTAAGTGTTGTGCATTAGAGGGATCCATAAGCTGAGGTGAAACTGCTTCTTTGGGAGCAACAAATCTGTGATTAGTGTGAGTGACACTTGGAACTGGGGCTGGACACTCCAGGAGGCCGCTTGGAGGCGGGAGTTTGCCTCAGGCAGAGGGGCAGCACAGCCTATGTAGGCTGAAGGGGGACTACTTGCCCATGGCTGGTGGAGTCAGGGCAAGGTGCAGATAAGGCCCCTTCATACTTAGGGCAGAGGGTAGCAAGGTGCCTCACAATCTTAAGTACCCCCCCAGGAGGCATCATAGGTGATGATTTAGCAAAGATGGCACATAGAGTTAAAGAGGATCTTTTATATTTTTTCCATCACACATACCGATTAATGCTACAAAGGTTTAAATATTACCCTTTCCCACACAGAGCTAGCAATATTTGATTACTTCCAACTGGTGGAATATATAAAACCACCCCACCCTGCACTACATTTGATAGTATTACGGTCATGGTGGCCTGGCAAATGTTCAGATGATACATTTTGAAGGCTTAGATGAAAGCATCTTGGAGTGTTTTTGATGCTTTTCCTAGAAATTGATGTGGCTCAGTTGAGCATGTGGCTCAATCCACTTTTTCCTCCCAACCATGACAAATAAACTTTTCCAGCGTCAGAAATAATGAGAACAACTGGTCAAAGGTAACGTAACCCTGGTCTGAAAGTGATTCCAAGTGAAGTCTGAAAGGAAAATAACATTCCCCCGTCCCTTGGAACACAGCAGACAAAGAGAGTGCAACATAAAATGTCGATTTAAAAAGAACCCAGTAATGACGAGTAAAATAAAACAAATGCCTGAAATAGCCACTCAGGAAGATGCCTCATTATAATCTAGTTTCTAGGCCTACTCCTTTTCTCCTTACACATTGTATTAATGATTACCACAAACCTCATAGGGGTAGATTAACTCTTTAATCATTTAGCTTTTGCTCCGTATGTAAGCAAATTCTTTACAGCTGCATGGGAATTTCGCATGAGTTAAGAGTAATTAATGACTTCAGGGTTTGACCCTTCAACCATGCCTGTGTGATATGTAACTGCAGCCTGCATAAGTCACCATACAGGGGAGACAATGTAGCAATATGCCTTGGGGTCTGATGTAAGAGCTGCTTTTCTGGGAACATTGAGTAATACGACCGTCTCGGTGGAGATACTGGTGTAAATTCGGACTGTCCCATGTTTGAATCAGTGTTTTGAATCACGAAGACATAACCAGTTCTCTAGGGACCCTGAGCCACCCCTTCCACTTCCTCTAAGCAGATTCTTTGTCCAGCCAGAAAGGTGAATTTGAGCCCCCCCCCCCCAAAATCCAGATCACTGAACTTTGAACAGCTCTAATAATAATGGAGAAATTCGAAGACTTACCCAGAATTTTTGGGGGCCTTAACTCAGATAAGTTTTGTTTTTCTTCATGTAAATCATTGCTCTGGGGTGGGGCTGGAGATGAGGGGTTCAGGATGCAGGCTGCCCCAGGGAGAAAGGCCAATGCCAGCCCTCTCTCACTGCAGCAGCTTGGGACCAGGTGAGAAGCACCTCTCCTTGGCTGCTGAAGCTGTAGAGGGCACAGCCAGGGGAAAGGTGCATGTTCCCCAGCTGGGGGACACAGACAGACAGACAGATAAACTCTTTACAATATATAATAGATAGTTGTTCCTTTCCCCTGCGGGCCCAATGGGGTTATGGCTGTCTCGGTCCCCATCTCTGGATCCTTGCTGCCCCTCTGTGGTCATTCTGCAGTATAACTGTCCTTCCTTCAAGAGCCTCCCTTTCTATTTTATGAGAAACGATCAAATTCTAGGCTAATTTTTGTCCAAGCCCTGACCTTGCCTGGGGCAGAGGGAAAGCTCAGTGGTTTGAGCAGTGGCCTACTAAATTTAGAATTCTGAGTTCAATCCTTGCAGAGGGCCATTTACGGATCGGGGGCAAATCTATCAGGGATGGTACTTGGTCCTACCATGAAGTCAGGGGACTGGACTCAATGACCTCACAAGGTCCCTTCTAGTCCTATGAGATATCTCCATGTATTGTTATGAGAAGACCACCACATTTGGTGGTCTTTGCTCTTTCCATTTGGGAGGAGTTCTAGAACAAACAGACTCAGAGATGGACAGACAGACTCACAAAGTTTCTAAAATATATAGTAGGGCTGTGGCTACATTGGTATGATTCTGCGCAAAAGCACCCGCTTTTGCACAAAAACATGCTGCCTGTCTACACTGGCGGGGAGTTCTTGCGCAAGAACACTGACGTTCTAATGTGTGAAATCAGTGCTTCTTGCACAAGAACTATGATGATCCCGCTCAGGAATAAGCCCTCTTGTGCAACTGTTCTTGTGCAAGAGGCCAGTGTAGACAGGCAACATGAATTTCTTGCGCAAGAAAGCCCAGTGGCTAAATGGCCATCGGAGCTTTCTTGCACAAGAGAGCGTCTACACTGGCATGGATGCTTTTGCGCAAAAGCACATCTCTTGCGCAAAAGCACATGCCAGTGTAGACGCTCTCTTGCGCAAATACTTTAATGCAAATACTCTTGCGTTAAAAATATTTGCGCAAAATCTTGCCAATGTAGACGTAGCCTAGGTGATCAGAGCATGGAGAGTTTCAAAGTTCCTTAATTGCAAGTTTCCTGTTTACAGAAACATGCATTGGCAAGGGCAGATGCAGGTACAATGGGTATCATTAAAAATCAGCTTGTACTGTGACATTTGTATCTTCTCTAAACATAGGATGGGAAATAATGCAAATATAATAGTTAATGTAACTGCTGTAAGAGGTATGCATTGATTTTCATTGGCCTCTCCATTAGATCTGCATCTGAGATACTCTGGTGAATACATTCTCTAGACAAATAAACTAAACCCCATAGTAGATTTCCACATTTGCCAAGCTCATCACCAGAAATAAGCTCCTCAACGACCATGACCCACCAACTCAAAGCAGCAGCATACCTTGCAAGAACAACAGCTGCAAAATCCATAGATGAATCTTCACTGCAATGATGAGCAATACCCCCTTCCTGCCCACTCTCACCAAACACCTAGCAAGATGTTTGGCTCCTACATGCTGAGATCACAACATATGGTATGTTAAATAGAATGTTAGGAATCATTAAAAAAGAGAATAAGACAGAGAACATCTTACTGCATCTGTATAAATCCATGGTACTCCCACATCTTGAATACTGCATACAGATGTGGTCACCCCATGTCAAAAAAGATATTTTGATATTGGAAAAGGTTCAGAAAAGGGCACCAAAAATGATTAGGGGTTTGGAATGGGTCCTATATGAAGACAGATTAAAAAGACTTAGACTCTTCAGCTTAGAAAACAGGAGACTGGGGGGGGGGGGGGGGGGACTGGTGTGGAAAAAATGAACAAGGAAAAGTTATTTACTTATTTCAACAATATAAGAACTAGTGGTCACCAAATGAAATTAATAGGCAGTAGGTTTAAAACAAATGAAAGGAAGTTTTTCTTCACTCAGTGCACAGTCAACCTGTGGAACTCCTTGCCAGAGGATGTGGTGAAGACTAGGACTTTAACAGGGTTCTAAAAAGAGCTAGATAGATTCATGGAGGTTAGGTCCATCAATGACCATTAGCCAGGATAGGTGGGAATGGTTTCTCTAATTTCTGAGTGTCCGAAGCTAACAATGGATGACAGGAGATGGATCACTTGATGATTACCTGTTCTGTTCACTCCCTCTGGGGCATCTGGCATTGGCCACTGCCAGACGACAGCAATTCAAGATGTATTTTGCATGTGGACATAATTGGGTAGATGAAAGGGTTCACTAAAAATCTGGCTTCATAATAGAGGATGCATTCATACGAGAGCATTTATATAACCCCAGGAAGACTATATTAACCATGCAATGGTAACCAGTCTTGTAAAGAAATATTTTACATGGTAAGGCCTAATCATGGACAAGAGAGTAATGAAAGCCTCTTGAGACTACAAGAGAACACCATTACTTGGACAAGGTACAATAGAGCTGTCCATTCAGCACCATAATTCCTATGGGAGTATGAGAGAGAAATCGCAAGCAACTAGATATGGTACAATAGACTGGGTTAGCTCATAACCCTGCTGAAAGACTATTTAACTAGTATGCACTTTGCTGCATTAGCATAGTGAGCAGCTGGAGTCCTATTGTTCCAAGCAGATTTCCATCTGCACTCACTTGTTGATTTTCTCCTGTATTTGAATTGATGTTTTTGTCTTGATGCACGTGATTAAGCGGTTGTGAGGAATGGAGCAATTCCTTCATATGCATCAAATATGGTGGTTCAGATGTAAGTCTGCTTGGGAAAGCAAAAGCAACTCTATTATATTGCTCTGCTCTGCATTGTGAAAAGACCATTCATTTCCAGGACACCTGTGGTGGATCCAGAGCAGGGTGAAAAGCAGTTTTCTCATCTTGAATTTTTTTTTCAAGGTTTCAACATTTTCCCCTATCCTGCATTGGGACCAAACTGAGGACTTTTGAGCGAAGTAGAACTAGACCTTCTATAGCCCAGGTGAGTGTCCTAACTATCAGGGTACAGGCTTTTCTGAGTGACGTGCATGTCTCTTATAATCTCTCCTGCTGGATCTGTTCCACTTTGTGTAAATAATCAAATGTGTGATATGGGATTTCCAAGTTCATGTCTCCTACATTGTGAGTGCGCTAACCATGGGGTTTTGGAGTTAATCTCTCTCCCTCTCTGGTCCAATGAATAGTGAATTAGGTATACAAAGTGGAAACTCTTCAATTGCAGAGCCTGAACAAGACCTGCTATGTATCTTGGAGCTTAGAGAACACACCTGGAATGTGGGAAACCAAGGTTCAAAGGCCAGCTCTAAATCAAGATCTCAATCTGGCCAGAAATAATACCCTGGACCTAAGAAGGTTTCTTGATGAAAATAATGGGTTCTCCAAGAATTTTTGGCTCTGCTAGAAAAAATCCTGATAAAATATAGATGAATGTAGGGGTTCTTGATAAGGTTCCTTGATCTGTAGCCTAAAATATGTTTTAAACATGGTTCTTGTAGGATGGTGTGTTTGGAAACCAGGGTTGTGACCAGGTTGGTTCCAGGATAATAGAAAGACACGGTGGTTGAGGTCATATCTTTTATTGGACTAACTTATGTTAGTGACAGAGACACGTTTCTGCGGTTTGATTAGATGAGCTATGTAACATGTTGGGATACAGGTGTGTAGGACCTGTCAAAACTGAAAAATGTGTTAGAGAGGGCGTTGTTGATCATTATAGCAATGGAAATAAGTCTAAAGGCCTTTCATTTGTTGCTCTGGTACAGTGTGGTGTTGCTGTGAATTGGGGTGTCTTACTTCTGATGATGAGTTTGGTGAGGCTGGCGGGCAGCTTGAAGGCCAGCAGAGTGGGTACAGGAAAGATTTTTTTTAGGATGCCATCTCCAGCCGAGTATGGTTGTAATTGCTTAATGATAGACCACACCGACTCCATTGTAGGGTGGCGGGTGATAATGTGGGATATGGGATTGGAAGTATTGAATGTTCTCTTGGGTTAGTTAGGTGGCCTTTTCATGGAGCAATTGGCTTCCCTGGTGAAATGTCCTGGTTTGGCAAAGGTGGTTTTAAGTGTGCTAAAGTATGTATCTTTGACTTTCTGCAGAGAGCATAGTCTGTGGTATGTGAGTGCCTTGCTATAGATAATAGATCTCTTGGTGTGTATGGGGTGATTACTGGATCTGTGAAGGAAAATTTGGTGATACGTGAGTTTTTATAGAGTCCATTCCATTCCAAGTTGTCTGTAGGATTCCATTCCTGAAACTGATTGTGATGTTCAGGAGGTTGGTGCTGGTGTGGAGCAATGCTCCTTCTAAGCTGTGTGGCAGAACAGCACGGCAGCTGCTTAATGAGCCCCACCTGTCCAGGGGCTTCGGGCTCTGTGCACAGAGCTGCCTGACTCGGGGAGGGGCACTTCTCCCTCAATGATAGCAGCAGTTCTACACACCGCTTCCTGTGCCTAAAAACAGTGAATCGAAAGGCTATGGACCCTTTTGGTAAACAAAACAGCACAGGCCTGCTAGTGGCTTCCCCAAAACAGACCTGAAGCCCACTGAGATTTATTGTGTTAAACTGTAGAATCTTTTCTTATCAAATTTCTATGCCACAGGTAGTTATTGCTAGATGATAATCACATGCAAGGTACCAGGAGTTAAGAACCCAATATTTTAGTGATACTAAGCAGCTGGTAACTCCAGGCTGCTACCCAGCAGTAGGTTTTACTCATAGGCTGTGTCTAGACTGGTCAGTTTTTCTGGAAAATCAGCCGCTTTTCCAGAAAAACTTGCCAGCTGTCTACCCTGGCCGCTTGAATTTCCGCAAAAGCACTGACTTCCTACTGCAAGAAATCAGTGCTTCTTGCGGAAATACTATGCTGCTCCCATTTGGGCAAAAGTCCCTTTTGCGCAAAACTTTTGTGCTAAAGGGCCACTGTAGACAGCTGAGATTTGTTTTCCGCAAAAAAGCCCCGATCGCGAAAATGGCTATCGGGGCTTTTTTTTGTGCAAAAGCACATCTAGATTGGCCACGGACGCTTTTCCGCAAAAAGTGCTTTTGCGGAAAAGTGTCCGTGCCAATCTAGACGCGCTTTTCTGAAAATGCTTTTAACGGAAAACTTTTCCGTTAAAAGCATTTCCGGAAAATCATGCCAGTCTAGACGTAGCCATAGACTTTAAGGTCAGAAGGGACCATTATGATCATCTAGTCTGACCCCCTGCACAGTGCAGGCCACAGAATCTCATCCACCCCCTCCTAGAATAATCTTCTCACCTATATCTCAGATATTGAAGCCTTCAAATAGTTTGAAGACCCCAAGAGGCAGAGAATCCTCCAGCTGTGATCTGTACCCCATGCTACAGAGGAAGGTGAAAAACCTCCACAAGTAGCTATCTTGTGCTCAACTTTCCATGACCTTCAGACCATGAGACATTCCACTATCAGGTTTGAGAGATCACAGACCCATGGCTCCTGATTGGCTCCATGCCTTATATAAATCCCAGCAGCATTCTTGGATACATCTGGGCAATTCTGTGGATTTTTTGGAGTTGCTCTGACTCTTGAATTCCAGGCTTAATTCTCAGCTTGATTTGGATGTTGTCAGCTGACTTTTCCCCTGATATCTGATTCAGTCTCTGACTTTGACCTTGGCCTGGACTTGGTTATGAGCTCCTCTGCTTTTCCCAGCAACAGGTTTGTTCCTGCTCTGATCCTTGACCTTGACATCAAGTCAGCACTTAACCCTAGCTTTGAAGAGGGTATTATAACAAAGAAAGGGGTAAGAAAACTCTTTCCTTGGAGAAGTCTGAAAATCAGAATGTATTGCTGATGGAAGTTTTCCCCTCTTGCAAGATCCTGGATTCTGTTTCACAACAGGGCTCACATTCCATCTGCTGAATTCATCTAAGTGAGTCACTAATATTAGAAGAAATGAGTTTCTTGAGTAACACTGCACTGTTAGATGACAGCACATTCTGTGAGGACCATAGTGACTGTGCCTCACAGTCTCCATTTTGTACTGAATTGCTCGTGTTCGGTTTATAAGAAACGTTAAGTCTTTGTGGCAAGATTTTTTAAAAAGCTTTTTTGACAAAGAGAAAAATGCATTCAGTCAATTTCATCTCATGCAATTCCATTATGTTTAGTGGAGCTCTACCATGGATGAATTTGGTCTGATATTTCCAGGCTGGCTACCTGTGCTTCATATAATTGTAATTGTATAACCGTGTATGCAAAGATACAATTATGGCTATTTGTGTGTAAAAATACCTGATTTGCATATGTATTCATGATATTTACATGTGTAAATTAAATGTTATCTGCATTTCTTAAGGGTTTGATATTCTGGACTTGAGGGTTTTTTGGGTGGTATATAACTTTAGGTTGTATCTATTTGCTAGAGAACAGAAATAACTTTACTAAGAGGGTCCAACTTCTAAACACAAATGTCTAATACCTACCAATCTGCATCCACACTTTCAGTTTCTTCATATCTTCCATTTATATGTGCAGAGAGGCACTTCCATAAGAAATTGAGGGAAATATGGCCCCAATCCAGCAAAGCACTTAAACATGTTTATAACTTTCAGCACTATCGCTGTAGTTAATCATGTGCACTTAACATGACTTTGCAAGTACAAATTAGATACTTTTGCATACACAGATCTCCACGACGCAAGTTGCGCACCTGAAGTTACATGCCTTAATATCTGCTGCTTTGGGGCCATTTTCATACAAGCATTTTACTGCCATGACATTTTCAAGAACAAGGACGGCAGTAAAATGCACAGTAGGGGCACAAAGCAGGGGCGGGGATTTGACAATATATCCATTATACTGTAAAAGAAATGTATTTTAATTCTGTTCACGGGGACAGCCATTCTACAGCATGCATGGTGTGATAAAACAGGAAAAAATATGCATATCAGTCATACATGTGTATAAATCAATTGAAAATTGAAACACGGCCATTTTTTTTGTCCTGTTTGTGTCAGCCTGGCACTATAGATACCAAGAGTAACAATGCTCCCTCCAATAACAGCTCCAACCCTGGCATTGCTTAATGAACTGTGGCAATGCACAGAGGCAGCTGCTTCTGAGTATTATAGGATATTTTACTCCTAGCAATGAGTTTATGTAAATATGAACTACCACCATAAAAAAAAAAAAGAAAAAAGAAAAGAGAAAGTGAAATCCAGGATATAGTCTGACATTTCCACTTAGGGTGGCATACAAAACAATAAGTCTACGTCTACACTGGCAGCTTCTTGCGGAAGAACAGCTTGTCTACACTGCACGAGCATTCTTCCAGAAGTAAATTTACAGTATAGCATTGTAAAACAGGGCTTCTTCCAGAAGAGTTATTCCTCTCCCCACAAGGAATAAGCCCTCTTGTTCAAGAGCTCTTCCAGAAGAGGGCAGTGTAGACAGGCAACATGAATTTCTTGCACAAGAACCCCCTATGGTTCAAATGGCCATCAAAGCTTTCTTGTGCAAGAGAGAGTTTACACTGCCATGATGCTCTTGCGCAAAAGCACATGGCAGTGTAAACGCTCTCTTGTGGAAGAGTTTTTGCACAGTAGGACTACATCTACACTGGCATGATTTTCCGGAAATGCTTTTTACGGAAAACTTTTCCGTGAAAAGCATTTTCGGAAAATCGCATCTAGATTGGCAGGACGCTTTTCCGCAAAAGCACTTTTTGCGAAAAAGCGTCCGTGCCAATCTAGACGCGCTTTTGCGCAAAAAAGCCCCGATCGCCATTTTAGCCATCGGGGCTTTTTTGTGCTAAACAGTACTGTGCTGTTTATACTGGCCCTCTTGCGCAAATGATTTGCGCAAGAGGGCTTTTGCCCGAGCGGGAGCAGCACAGTATTTCCACAAGAACACTGACAATCTTACATGAGATCGTCAGTGTTCTTGCTGAAATTCAAGCGGCCAGTGTAGATAGCTGGCAAGTTTTTCCGCAAAATCAGATGATTTTGCGGAAAAACTTGCCAGTCTAGACACAGCCCAGGTGTAGCAATTCCATTACCAACGTTCCTAGTCTACACTAAATTTGTGTTTTTTCGGGTACAGATTTCCAACACAGACTTTTGTTTTGTTTTTGTCTTGTTTTAAACTCTAAACAGCTGAAATGCTTTTATCTGGCTGGTGACACATTACCTATAGCTTAGCAATGGGGAACCTCAGGCCCGGGGGCTGGATGCAGCTGCTGACTTGCTGGATCCAGCTCCCGAAGCTCAGGGCTGCCTCCTGGCCCCCCACTCCCTCCGCAGGTCTGGAGCACACAAAATCTACTAGCCTCCCCTCCTCCCCCAGTCTCTGGTGTGTGAGGGGAATGTGGGGAGTTTCTTTCTCCTTTTCAGTCAGGGGTCACGTCAGTGAGGGTGTGGGCTTTTTTGCAGTGGGGAGGGCTTCTCACTTGTGTGCGAGCCCCGACCAATTTTTTTCTGGGTCAGTAGCCCCCAACCCAAAAAAGGGTTGCCCACCCCTGCTATAACTATCATGTTCTTTTCCCCCTTAAATGCCCCAAGCCAGTTTTATCACATCCAACACCATGATAAGCCGTGAGTGTGTCTGTGTGAATGCCTGTGTTTTGCCTCTTTGAGAAGGTGAGTGAATTTTTATTTTAAGTTCATGAAGCTTAAGTAAGGACATCTGAACAGCTTATTACATTTGTCACTTGTGCCTATTGTTCTTTTCATACTGCAACGGATGGACTTTCCTGCAATTATAATGTAATTCTCTGCCACGCCCCAATTTAACTGCAGCCAAAAAAATCTGTTTTGTTCCTCGGGCTTAAACAGTCTGTTTCTGCTTTGAGAAGCAGGAAGTTGTAGGCTTCAGTCATGTGTGTCAATCTTCAACGCTCAACGAACTTCCCAGCCAGGCAGGGCTGGATCTGAGGTCTTGCTGATTCTCTTCGCAATTCTGCTCCTTCTGAATTCAGGAGTTTTTGTGGATTTTAGATGTCCGTGATGTTCCAGCTCATCCAGCCTCCTGATTTTACAGTGGTTTTGGAGTTCCCAGCATTGGGGTTTACCTGGATTTCTGTTTGAAATCTTTCTTATATGGGATGTGTAAGTTTGAAAAGTTAAATATCCAAAAGCACCTACCCAAACCTGCGATCTGTGCGCTCTCACAGGGGCATTTGCACATGGAATGCGATAATGGCATTTATAGGTGGCAGTGGTTCTCAAAGTGTGGCCCATGGACGACTAGTGCTGCACAACCGTCTTGCAGGTGGGCCATGGGCTCAGGAATTGCCCCACTCTCCCTGCAGCAGGGAGCCCACAGTGGTTCTCCAGGCCTATATGCCCCCCCTCCCCGTGAGGTTGGCTTCCCACTGGGGGGGTGGGATGGAGCCTTGAGCATCACAGGCCAGATGCAGCTCACGGAGGGAGGAAGTGGCTCTGCACGCTGCCATTCCTTCTCCCCCGGGCTGAGGAAACGGCAGCACAGGAAACCGTTGACCTGGAGGCTTTCCCTGCTGCTCCCATTGGCCGGATTCCTGGGCAGATTTTCCCCCACCCCCAGCCTGCTCCTGCACCCAACCTCCCAGCCAGATCCTCCCACCCCCAGTCCACTCCTGCACCCAACCTCACAGCCAGACCCCGCACGCCCAGCCTGCTTCTGCACCCAGCCTCCCAGCCAGATCCCCCCCGACCCTCAGCTCGCTCCTGCACACAAACTCCCAGCCAGACCCCCAACTTCCCTCAGCCTACTCTTGCACCCATTCTGTCATCATGGGTGGTTGGCTGGTGGTTTGCGGAAAGGTCTGGGTTGAACAGGTTGGGCTGCAGGCCAAAAAGTTTGAGAACCACTGAAATATGTGCATGAGTAAGTCCCTGGGAAATTCTGCAATTGTTGCATTTGGAGCCATAGTAAAATTGTAGAATCCCCCCCAGACTAATTAATTTATACACACAGTTGTTGTCTTGGGATGCACATTTTGGATCTGTTTGTTTACCATTGCATGCAGATTTCTCCCTGAAACAATGTTCTGCTTTGCGGGAAAAGCGTATATCCTACCCTTGGTTGTCTGGCATTCAGAAACATGAGGCAATTTGGGGTAACATTTTGCCTTAATTTTGAATGATCTGCCTTTCCACCATTCACCACTCATGTGCCATGGCTGGCCTGTGGTTGCAAAGCATTAAGGGTTAAAGCAGACTTTTATACTCTTTGGCTACGTCTAGACTGGCCCCTTCTTCGGAAGAGGCATGCTAATTTCTAACTTTGTAATAGGGAAATCCACGGGGGATTTAAATATCCCCCGCGGGATTTAAATAAACATGGCCGCCGCTTTTTTTCCGGCTTGGGGAAAAGCCGGAAAAGAGCGTCCAGACTGGCGCGATCCTCCGGAATAAGGCCCTTTTCCGGAGGATCTCTTATTCCTACTTGCAAGAGTAAGGAATAAGGAATAAGAGATCCTCTGGAAAAGGGCTTTATTCTGGAGGATCGCGCCAGTCTGGACGCTCTTTCCCGGCTTTTCCCCAAGCCAGAAAAAAAGCTGCGGCCATGTTTATTTAAATCCCCCGCGCATTTCCCTATTCCAAAGTTCTAAATTAGCATGGCTATTCCGAAGAAGGGGCCAGTGTAGACACAGCCCTATGGTTTTTAGCATGTATGTTGGGAGTATTAAATATTTAAAAAGCAAAATCATAGTCATACTATGCTGCAAGTTGATCTAAAATTATGCTACATCTTTCCTATTGGATTCTGTTGTAATATAACCCCCCGAAATGCAGTATTATTAACGTGCTAGCTACCTACCTATAAAGCAGAAGCTAAAATAAACCAAGAAAATGAACT